GTTGGCAACTGTGCAGAGTTTCAGCCACCTGCCACCTACAGCACTAGTTGTAGGTAAACACAAATGGCGACTCATTTGAAAAGCTGGTTTCGCGAAAAAATCTGCTCAGTTATTCGATTTCTGTGGATGAAACATGTAACCGCAACTGAAATTCACCCACAGCTGGTAGAGGTTTATGGAGAGGCTGTAATGTCGCTCCATAATGTCTTCTGACACATTCAGCATGTTGCAGAATGGTGTCGGAAGACCACCATGCTGTTGAAGCAGTTTCGCTGGGATATCATTGACCACCCTCCCTACAGCCCAGACCTTGCTCCAAGCGACTTTCACCTGTTTCCTCAGCTGAAGGAGAACCTAGTAGGACAATGATTCACTTCAGACAAGGAAGTGAAACACTTAGCGACAACTTGGCTGAACATGCAAGGAAAGGATTTTTACCAGGAGGGAATTTTCAAACTCATCACACGAAGTGAAAAGTGCCTGAACCGATATGGAGACTATGTCAAAAAATAACCTGATGTATATGTTACTGGCCAAACCCGATTTCAGGCCAAACTAGTTTGTCCTATGCATGTCAGGATATACTAGTTTGGCCTAAATACTTTAGGCTTAACTAGTTTGATCTAGATTGAACTGATTTATGTACTACAAATAGGTGCCAGTGTAAAAAAAAAAATTTGTGTGATTCGAAATGCCACCACAGTACACCCAGTGTAACGTTAAAGTGTACCTAGGTAACCCCAATGGTGGTGCTTCGATTAGGTTGGTTTGGTTAGGTTAACTACATTTTTAGTAGATGTTTCCTTTTTTTTCTTTTGTTCAAGAACTACCATGAATCAATAACTAGTGACATTAAACAATGGGCAGCCTGCCGGCGGCTCCCCTCCAGGAGGATTCTGCCAGGAGCACGAACAGTCCAAAGTGCCACCATTGGGGTTACCTAGGTACACTTTAACTCACCCTGTAAAAATAAATAAAAGATTAAATATTTTATATGTTACACTAAGAAACATAAACAAGTTCATTTTTAAATTTAGTTTGACTTTAAAAGTTATTTTTATTATTTCGTTTGAATTTTTGAAAATATTTTTGAAAGTTAATTACTTTTAAAAGTGCATGGTTTAATAAAAAAAATACAAACTGATAAGTACTGATTAGCTTAATTTTATTTTATAGTTTTGTACAAGTGTTGTGTCACTTCTAATTAATATTGTTTTTTATAATTAAGTAGACTATGTTTGAATAAATATTGTTCATCTAATTGATTGCCTTTTAATTTTATTTTAACCATTAATATACTTAAATCAGGCCTGGCAACCTGCAGCACGTCACATTAATTTAAATTGTGTGGCATGCTAAGCAACATTATATATCTATTAAAACTTTCGTTTTTTGTTTTGTATATACCAAAACAATTAAATAAATGAAAATTTGCATGTGTCATTGTTATAATGCGCAGGTGCGAATACGAACTCTTGGTATAACAATGAAATATTATTCATTTTGTATTTGTTTTACTTTTTTAAAAGCATGTTTGCCTAAATTGTGGCTCATTGTAATGTTACGCTTGATCAAAGTGGCTTGCGAAACAATTTGGATTGGCCAGGCCTGACTTAAATAATAATTCTAAATCAGTTCGGCCTAGGACAAACTAGTTATACCTAAAGTATTTTAGTTAAACTAGTAGTAAACGTAGTTAAACTAGATTGTCCTAGGCTAAACTAGTATATCCTGACACATGTAGGATAAACTAGTTTGGCCTGAAACCGGGTTTGGCCGGTAACATATACACTATCAGTTGGCTGTATTGATTGTATGAAATAAAATGTACACTTTTCACTGCAGGCTTTGTAACCTTAGTTTTTGATCATCCCTCGTATTTGTGCATAGAAAATAAAAAATCAACAACAACTAGACATACCGTGTTTCCCCAAAAATAAGGCCTAGCAGAGGTTTTGCTGAATTGCTAAATATAAGGTCTCTCCTGAAAGTAAGACCTAGCAAAATTGTTTTTACTCGTAATGGTCACCAACAGATGGTTGAAAGTGGCCATTGGCTTTTTGAAAGTACAGCCACTGATTGGTCAGTAGACAATCATGTTACATGGCATGATTTGCATAAAACTATGGCTTGGGAATCACAGATTTGCATAACGTTATGGCTGGTGATCGCTAATTGGTCGGCCAGGAATCACACCACATCACATTTGCATAGTGCTGCGGTTCAGTAAGCACTAATTGATCATCAAGCCCGATGTCAACACTATAAAAAAGTTAAGTTGAAGTGAGAGTGGGGATCAGCTCGTCGGAGAAAGAGCATAATTAATGCTAGTGCTTCTCAGCCTTATGGCTAACTTGTAAGACCAAATGTGTAGTATTTGGTTCCCACCTATCTGATGTGGGGACATGACGGAGCACACCATTTGATTGCGGCCATTGAGTCAGTGACTAAAGCCTTTGATGGCTTATTTTTGTAACTGTGGGCACCACCCAAGGCCCTTGTTCCTGCTCATCGTCTGCTGCGGCGGCCATGGTAGGTAGAGGAATCCGACGGTGGTGCTTAGCAGGATCTTCATTGATCCCTCAAACTTTAAGGAATGCTAGTATCTCCATATAAACCCTAGAAGAAGAAGAGAGTGGAAAGTCCACTCCAGCACGAGAACTCCATAAGTTCACTTCGGTTTTATTTAAGTTTAGTTTGACACGACCGGACATACGTCACTCTCATCTAAGTTCGACTTGGGAAGTTTTTTTTTTGTTCAACAATAAATGTGAATTTTTCTTCATGGAAAAATAACACATCCCTGAAAATAAGACCTAGCACATCTTTGAGAGCAAAAATTAATATAAGACACTGTCTTATTTTTGGGGAAACAAGGTAGATAATTATATAAATTAGATTCTTTGCAATTGGAACATCAGATTTATCTAAAAATACTTATGTTCAATTACACATATCTACTATTAAATTTGTTTACAATTGCTAATATGAAATTTTTAAATTCAGATTGAAGTAGTTAATACATCAAATTAATGATATTTTACATATTGTAATTTAAACAAAATATGAATTACAAGTACAGTATATTTCTACTGATTTATACTTGAAATTCAAATTTATTTGATTTATACTGAATATCAACTTGACAACTCAAAGGACAATATATTATTACATCCAAATTCCATATTAAATGATATTAATGTCTTTCTTGAAATTTAAACATATTTTACTAAAATAATTTACTAAATAAAAATAACTTATCTCTAAACCTATAACCGATGTGAAAGAATTTCAATCGCAAACGTTTTCGGACACCACTGTATCCTTCTTCAGGCAATGTTCTATTCGTAACACATCGTTACTGCCCGTTGTCTTTGGAACGCCTTTCAAAAATGTTCTTATTTCGAGTTCCGTTGGGCATCACGCGCTTTTTCAAACCGAAATCTCAGTATCCACGTAACGATCTTTTATTCGTACGATAGAATTACGTAATTTTCGAATAAATTTGTTTTAGCGTGTCAGAGGTGGGAGATAACACGCGCCCTTCTTCCTTCCGCATTCTAAATAACGATGTCGATTAATCCGAGTCTCCTTTCCGTAATAAGGCTTGCCATGCCAACGATAATGTCATCTCATCCTTGTAATTGATGGGGGTTGCCGACTCGTAGGCTCTGCATATCTCCATTTGTTCTAGCCACCTAAGTTGGTCTACATACGACGTCGTGATGAGAAGTTTGGCCCTCGTGAAGTCCGCNAAAATCGCGAAACTGCAAGGGATACGCATAGCATATAGAAGATGTCCATCTATTTTTCCTCTTATACGTAATGAGAAGGACAAGCCTAGTCGGGATAGGCTGCCAGGGGTGTATTCAGTGCCACTCACCGACCATAGATGTGACAAGGAGCTGGTATACATTGGGGCCACAAAAAGGGCAGTCGGAGTAAGGTGGAAGGAGCACCAAAAGGACATCGAGCACAATAGATGTAGCACGGCTTTATCGGTGTATGCATCGGACCCGGAGATATCGGCGGACTTCACGAGGGCCAAACTTCTCATCACGACGTCGTATGTAGACCAACTTAGGTGGCTAGAACAAATGGAGATATGCAGAGCCTACGAGTCGGCAACCCCCATCAATTACAAGGATGAGATGACATTATCGTTGGCATGGCAAGCCTTATTACGGAAAGGAGACTCAGATTAATCGACATCGTTATTTAGAAGGCGGAAGGAAAAAAGGGCGCGTGTTATCTCCCACCTATGACACGCTAAAACAAATTTATTCGAAAATTACGTAATTCTATCGTACGAATAAAAGATCGTTACGTGGATACTGAGATTTCGGTTTGAAAAAGCGCGTGATACCCAACGGAACTCGAAATAAGAACATTTTTGAAAGGCGTTCCAAAGACAACGGGCAGTAACGATGTGTTACGAATAGAACATTGCCTGAAGAAGGATACAGTGGTGTCCGAAAACGTTTGCGATTGAAATTCTTTCACATCGGTTATAGGTTTAGAGATAAGTTATTTTTATATGGTTCCGGTGTGCGTTAGTGGTTTATTTAAATTTACTAAATACTAAATACTTACTAAATATAATTGTTTCATTATTTCAAATAGGCATTTTTAGGTTTTCATTACAAATTGGAAAGTTTATCATTATTATTATTATTTTTAGGGCTTACCATTATCGTTAAATACTAGGCGTATAATCTAGTGAGCATAAAAAATTTAATAAAAACATTTGAAAATAATAAATTTTACTTTTTTAAGTTACATTTATGTTGTTAATAGAATTCATTAAGTAGTATGTATTTGCATTTTGATCTATTGATAAGAAAAAAATTAACAAGTGGATGCAATTCAATGATTTTTTTTATTTTTTCATTGGCTAAGATCTATTATAGTTTATTAAATGAATTTAATTTTTTTAGAATGATTTTAACAATAAGCTTATACAAATTATTTCAAAATATTTGTTTTCTTAAATGTTTTAGGTGTATGGCAAAAAGTTTTGGAACCAATTGAAAAAATGAGAAAACAAGCAGAAACAATTAAAGTATTCCCTAATTTTATTTCTGGAGAAGATTTGTTTGGTCTTACTGAACCAGCTATTCTTCGTATATTAGAATCTGTAAGAAATTTAATATTACATTGTTTAAATTTTATCTAAGTTTTTTAAATTTACTTTTTAAACACTATTTTATTCTAAAAAAAAAAAACATAATTTGGGCAGAAATTATATATTACACCATACTAAAATATGTGTACTGTATATACATATATATTTTTAATATGGTATACAGTATATGTATTTTATATCTTGCTGATATGATATATATTATACTAGTAGCCTGAGACACCCCCTAGTGGGTGTTCTTTACAAATTCCCATGAGGCACGTTTGATCCACTTAATATATGAAAGTTTGATGCATATTATTTTAAGGTTTGAAGCACATAATATTTAAACGATTGATGCACTTAATATAAATATATACAATTCTTTATCTTAAAAACTAATGTTAATAAATCAATAGACAAACAGCAAACAGGATTTCTATATTAGAAAGTGAAGATATTGTTTATTCAAAGTAATTGAAATAAATAAAATTAATATGCTTCAAAAATCTAGTTTTTTTTTTCCTTCATCTCTCCAGTCAAAAATCTTCCCTGTAAACAACATTTTTGGTAAAAAAGAAAAAAAAAGTATTATTATTCTGAATTAATTTTTCATTATTCTTCGTGGTATAAATAATAAATTCCTATTACAAATAAACATAATTTTTTCATGTATGAGGTATGTCCTATCATCCAATTGTACGGTAGGAGACACAATGCTATTAAAAATAATTATTTAGTGTTATTAAACATTCTATAAATACTTTAAAATAGTTTAATTTGTTTATTTGCCTTTGCTGGTAACCCTCGATTTAAATGTATCTGCCATTTTTTCAACAAATTTCCGTAAGTCAGTGCAGGACGTTCACTGAGTAATGGGATGTTGTGAACGTGCGGCACAAGGTTAATCAAGGCATATAATAAATATTTATACCATTCCGTGGTATAAATAATAAATTCCTATTACAAATAAAAATAATTTATTGTTAATTTAAAATCATTGCTAGGTGCCCCTAGTGGGTATTTTAGGCATACCGTTACAGATTAAAGACATACAAATATGTGATCAATGGTTTATATATATAGACTAGCTTACCCGTCACGCATTGCTGCGATCTCAGAAGAAACGAAATTCAAGCAAACTCGTAATGATAAAATTAAATTTTCATTTTATCATTTTTATTGAAACTTATTATTATTATTCGTTTTCATCGGGAAAACATTTCAAAGTGTTGTTTCAATTCTATTTATTTATTGGAGTGCTCGTGGATACACGATATTTTTTGTTTTTCCGTCTGGTGCGTACACGAATAAATCGGAAGGTTTTTCGACGCGTGAGCCGGCCACATACAGTTGTCCATGCGAGAAGCACGGATTCTCCAAATTTAGCCCACACACTTGCAGCGATTGTCAGAAGCGCGATATTCCCCATTTATATATATATTTTTTAATCCTTTATAATTTTAATTATTTAATTGCTCCTTCCTCTCTTCCTTGGCATGTTGTGAAATTTCTGATAGTTGGATAATAAACCGTTTTATTGTAATTTGTCTTTTTAAATTATTTTGAGTCGATATTAAAATTTGAAAAAGGGGGATACCTAGATCGGTAAAATAGGCGAATTTCTTCCTACAACTTCGGTCGTTGTTCGGGGTACAGTTAAGATTTTAACGAAGTTCGAGCGAATACATAATTAGCAAAAAAAGTCGAAATAAAGTGATTAAACAAAAATTATTATAAATATCGTAAATAACAGTTCACAAATGCATATATAGAGATATTTTTTGAAGGGGGAAATGGTCTTCACAATTTGAAATTGATCGAACACACTGTGCGCGAATGCTCGTGTAAACGCGCGCCATCTATTGTAGGATAAATGTACTTCACGGGAGTTTATTAAAAAATTAAAAAACTTTCCAAAGCTTCATGGCAATCGTACTATGCCACAAACCTTCGCCGGAGTATATTAAACAACTTCCCAAAGTTTCAAGGCAATCGGTTAAACGGTGTGGTAATGCATGAAGGACACACACACACAGACATACATTCATTTTTATATATATAGATAAACAGTTCAAAATAGTCAGTTTCAATAATCTAATAGAAAGATCATTCTATAACAATACTTATATTAAGTAATATATTTTGTGTGTGTTCATGTTGATATTATACACACACACACACACACATACACATATTCCAGGGTTGTTTTTTTAGCTCTAATTGTGCCAGTATATTGTACTAGCAGATAGCATAAAAAGTATCGATATCCAGTGCATATTATTGGCAGTTGCTCAGTAAGAAAGATTGTTTTTTGAAGAAACTCTACTGACTGACACAACAAATGCTTAACAAAACAAATTGGTTACTGTATTGGCTGCAATGAATGAATACCTGGACCAATTGGTGCTGACATAAAAAGCAAAAGGGATGGGATTTCCCTCCTTTTGTCAGAGGTCATCTTTTGACAAATGGCTAATATTGTCTGTCCTCACTGTGTTCTTATAAAGAAATGCTAATGATAATGTTTTGGAAGGAAAAGATGAAAACATGGTTTCTAAAAGGGTACCACTTAGCAACTGAGACTAAATCCAAAGGAAGAAATAGAGAAGAAAGTGCAGTCTGAAATGTACAAAAACTTTGGAAGATACAGTACTATTAATATAATACTACAAAATAAATGTACAAACACAATGTGTACATTTATAAAGAAAAAATAAGTAATTCATAGTATTAAACAGTATCTCTTAATTATTGTTAGTTTTTCTAAAACAGAACTTTTTAGTCACCATATATGCATATGTAGTAATTTTTTTTAGAAAGTGCACTGCATATAACAATAACTTAAAATATGCATAAACAAAAGTACTTTTGTCTTTTTTACTGTGATTACATCAGTTAAAATATAGAACAGAAAACAGAATGGAATATGGTTCTTAAATTAAAATTATGATCTTGAAATAACACGATAAATATAAACTTTAAAGCTAAATTTAAAAATAAATTACAAATGACAAAATTATTGTACAGTTAACTGTAAATAATTTGTTACTTAAGATATTAATGTGCAGAGTAATTGTGTGTGTGTTGTGTGTTGTCTGTTTGTATTGTGTAACATTGTGTAAAATTTCATAAATTTATCATACAAGTTATTTTTTTTGTGTGTCAAATCTACAATATTTAATTGATTAATGTACATTATGTCAAGATAATTAATGTTTTTTATGCATTATTGAAAAATATGCATATAATTAATTAATTATTAAACTCTCTTATGAACATTAAAGGATAAAATTAATAGTTTCAAATTTTTTCATTTCTGATATTCTGCAAGGATCCTTTTTTTAGTTCTTTTTTCTATCAATTACAATCTGTTTTTCTTAATTATATTGATGACATCAAAATCATTAACTCTGATGCTTCTTCTCTCAACTTGACATAAATAAATTTTGCAACCGATATACTAGATGCAATTTACAAGTTAATTTGTAAATCGTATCTATTAATAGTATAGTGCAGTTTACAAAATAACTTGTAATTAAAATGGACCAGCTTGGTTTCAGTGTAACCCAGGCTGACTGGATTAGAACTAGATACAAATTTTAACCATAAAAATATTGGAAATGTTTGTTCCTATTAAAAGATTTTAATTTACAAGAGTTTTTCAGAAAGGTTTATGAGGTCATGCTGTATTTTGTATTTGAAACTGAAATTTATTTTATTTACAAGTATACTATTAAATATGAAAGCTGATCTATATATTTTTTCATTCTAGCTTCCAGGAGTAGAAACACTTAGTGACTATAATTTCAAATATGGTCGATCGCCATTTCTTGAATTACCTTTAGCAATTAATCCAACTGGTTGTGCACGTACTGAGCCAAAACTAAGAACTCATTTCAAAAGGTTAGTAAATAATACTTTAAGTCAGATACAATTATTTTAATACATTTTAAAGAAATTATTTAAAATACAGTAAAGTATTGAAAATCTGGACACCAAAAATTCAGATTTGGATGTTGAAAAATGGCTAATAATCTCATTTAATGGTAAATTAATTATTCATATTTTAACATTCATTCAGAACTTATATATTTTTTTTTAATTTTGAAATTTATAATTTTTTGTAATTAGTGTAATTTTTGTTTAACTATAGTGACTCTGTAAATTATATTTTGAATCTTTAAGTATTCCTACATTCCTTGTGAAAAACTGGCTTGAACTTAGAACATCTATACTTGATTTATAGTATATTTGAAGTTTACAGTGGTTAAAATGCCAATTTACATGTACAGTTGAAAAGCTGGATGGAGTCCAGCACAATAAGTTCAGCTTTTCAATGCTTCACTGTATTTTTTTCCTCTTTCTTTGGCAATAATAAAATATATTCATATATTAAAATAGAAAAAATTTAAATAATAAAGTAATATTTTAAAATATCTGTTATTAAACTCAATAATTTTTATATTTTATAGTGAAGGAATAACTGCAGAATCAATCAGAAATCAAAAATTTATTTTATTTATTTATTTTTATTTTATTTCTGAAGTTATATTTTTTTTTTAACTGTCATAAGAAAAATGTTACATTGATGATAATTAAAATGTTGGCAGAGCTCTAGCTCTTTAATTTTAAAGTATTTCTATGAGACTGTTGGTCTTAATGTATACAAATTTTTTATTAACACATACAAAAGAAATACAGTTTCTAAATAAATTGTGATTGCACTATACTTAAATTTTATCTTTTTTATGCATTTACTGGTTTTATTCAATTAATAACCATCTCAAATAATAGACACAGTTATTATTCAAGGATTTCTAAAAACTTGGGAAACAATGTAAAATTAATAAATACCATAATCTATGATAGGTAAGTACTATATTAACAAATAAACTTTAATAGAAAAAGATATGTGTAAAATATATATACAATATACTGTAGATGTATTTTTAATTATTTTGTATTCTTTGTATACAGAAAATAACACTCAATATAAAGAAAGATACCAATTGTCATAATAGAATTTGTTAACAATTACATAACATTAATTTGTTTTAAAAAATAAACTTTCATTAAAAATGTTTAAATACAGTATTAATAAACAGGTACAAATGGGTATGTGCAAAGGAACTAATAAGTTCTTTGAACAGTAACTGCAGAGAAAATATGCAGTTTAAAGTATAGCCATGGCTATTATTTGAATAAAACTGATAAGCAATCACTACAAATATATATTCTTCAATAAATTATTATTTATTTCTTAAAATTCAGCAGTATATGTCTATTGTATATAAGAATGACATCTGTTACTGTTGATTCTTTAATAAGTGGTTTATTTTTATTTTAAATTACTATTAATTAGCTTTTTAGTCATTTAATAAATGAATTCAAGCAAGAACAAAGTAAGATATGTTTGTTTTGTGTGTGTATTTTTAGCCATATTATTGGAAGTTTGATTTATTATATTGTAAGCGTATTTTTGTCTTTTAAAATATGTTTAAATTATATCATAACACAATAAATTGAATTGTAATAGAGATATTGAAACCATCTGCAAACTCTAATTTTCAGAAGAATACTCAAATTAATTTATGGTTATTGGTTTTCCTTGTTATTTTCTTATCCTAAATTCCTCAAATCTATCTATTTTTTTAGATGAAATATTTCAGTTTCTCTGTATAAGTTCACATAAAAATTTATATATAGGCAACCCTTATATAACATAATACTTCTATAACAGTTTTTTTCTCATACGGTTACAGCCACCATACTCAACATTTTTTTCTGTCAGGCCACATACACATGATAGCTATTACACGCGGGCCGCAACATAACAATTATAATAAAAAAACTTACTTAATTTCTCACTTACCCTAGAAATTTAGTGTGACTTTTGATATTGCGAACATTTTTTCACAATTTCATTTAAATCTTTTATTTTTTTTTAATACGCTTTCCGCCCTGTGGGCACTAAGAGGGCCTCTTATAGCAGGCACTGTTGTTGGCTTGGGTTCGGCCAGGCCCACAATGGTGAGACCGGGTGGTTAGGGACAGGGCCCAACATATCTGAACAGACCACGCTCTGAAAAATTCCTGGGGGATTCCCTGACCCGACCGGATTCAATCCAGAGCGGTAGGCTGCCACCTTGACCGCTCGGCTGTCAATTCATTTAAATCAGGTTTGTAACTGCTGCATGCTACTCGTAAAATGGCATCCAGGTGTGAATCAGTAAGCCAGTTTTATATATGTTCTTTGCATATTTCATTTTTGAGTATGACATTTCACATAGATACGTTGATGCGAACAACACAAGTAAAATTTGAGCACATTTTTTAGTCTTATATTGATCAGGCACTATTTTCCAGAAATGGTAATTATTTCAACGTAATTATTTTCCGCTCTCTTTCACGTCCGGCCACTCACAAAAGCTCAGCGGGCCGCAGGTTGAGTATGGTAGGGTTACAGAATTGAAGCATACATCATGTAACACATTAAAACTGAAGATAATTGAAGTAAAACTGTCAATATTAATTGTTGTAAATAAATTAGAAAATGCATTGCTAGAATTAGTTTATTCAGGAAATAACGTCAAACCAGAAAAAATTGGAATTTGTGCAATAGTAGAACCTATGTCACTAGGAGAGGAAGGTTTCAAGGAATGATATGATTGCTGAAGATGCACAAGAATTAATGATAGAAAAAAAGACTGGTGAAACAGATTTTATAGAAATGGCTTTGGAAATAAATCAATTTAGAGGTTAAGTCTTAGTGTAAATGAAAATTTGGAATTTTAAGTTTGACGCTGAAAAGCATACAGTAAGGCATAAACTTTGCTGAGTAATTAGAATCTTATTTCTTTGAATGTAAATTTTTAACTAAAAGGAACACAAAATTAAGAACAGTGCTTCAAAATTGCTTAGCTTCATGAAATTAATATAGATATATGAAACAAAAGCAAACAAATCCAGATTAAAAAGAACAGATACATGAAATTCAGATGCAGTAAAAGAAAACCCATAAAGTGAAGATATTCTGCAACAAATCAAATGAGAATATTTTCTCATTTGATTTCATCTCATTTGCTTTATCTGAGATATATGTATCACTGTTTGTAGGATGTTTGTTTAGTTATTACTGTTTTTAATAAATTACGTTCAATACTTATAAAAATGAGATGATATATTTTTGTTAGATTTTAGAATTTCATTCACTCTTTTCATACAGTTCAGCCAAATTAACATTCTTTAGCAGCAAAAATTCTAATTAACTCAAACAAGGCAAAAATTCAAATAGTTTGTGTTTTAAGAATTTTAAATAACTGAAAAGGCTCTGAAGATTATTGTCATTTACCACAATTTACATTGAGTAAATAGGAAGTGTTTTATCTTCCTATTTACTCAATTACTAAATTATTCTTTACATCGCTTTTCCAATGAAAATATTTCTGTCATTGAAAACAATGAACATAGTTTATGCAAGCTTATATTGACAGATGATAAATTTTTAATGCATTTCATTTGATAAAATGTAAATATTTTAATAATTATTGTGTAATAATTATTTTAAAATAAATTATTCCGAAGACTCCCCCATGCACTTTTAATATTGGTATAACTTAATTCATTCAAAGATTCAACTCAGTTCTAAAGACAATCTCCTATAACACGATAATTAAGTTCCAATTAAAATCTCATGGAGTATGAAACCATGTTACCTGGGATTAAAAACCAGTATGAGAAAAGGAGTTTATATTCCAAAAGTTAACAAAAAAAATCTATCGAATTTACAGAAATAGAAAATTCTATAGCATTAGCAATTCTCTTTTCATCTTTATTCATGATCTGGATTATTGCTTAAATTTAAACCTTTTGTAGTGTGTGATATCTTTTTTCAAGACAGTCCAAAATTTGTATCTTTATTCTAGATTGGTTTTTCTTTTATTCTAGAGTTTGTTTTCAGAAGTGCTCTTTTTTTCGTTATACATAATTAAGAAATGGATTTTAATTTATAACAAAGAAATTATTATAATACCAAAGTTTATTGATACATATTTATGAAAAATTAATAACCAATGAAATAAAAATCAAAATAACCTTAATGAAATCTTAAAAGTTACAAACTATGCTTCCTTGTCAAATATTTAATGGTCTCAAACAAACACAATACCTAACATGGGGATTTGCTGACAAAATAAAGTGCAGGGATTCCTAATTTTTTCTAAAACTCGTGAATCAGCAGAAAGGAATGGAAATATTACATCTAACAATAGCAGGATTTCTCCCACAAAAAAGCTCAGAAATACCATGTTATGAAAGTTTTGTTGCAATTTTCTATCCATGTTAAAGCAAAACATTGTAAAAGTTCAATATTATATGAGTGTTGCCTGTATATCTTAAATATTGAATTTGAAATATCTTATTATCACTTTTTTTTTTTACTTTTCTTTCCTATGGACACTAAAAGGACTTTTTTTTCACTTGGGCACTAGGAGGACCTTCTGATCATCAGATGGTGAGGGACAGGCCCATTGTATCCAGAACAGAGACTACCTCTGAAAAATTCCTGGGATTGTTCATCCAGATTTGATTCTTATAAGCCAATGTTAAAATGCAACTTTCTTACATGCAAACAAAATTAAAAAAATAATAATACAGTAGAGCATCGTTTATCCGAATCAATTGGGGACTGGGGTTGTTCGGATAACTTATTTTTTGGATAACCAATTATGTACGAAAAAGTATATTAATTTATCCCGTGTCGAAATTTTTCTCCATTGCGTGTCGCTTCGCGTTGAATTTTCGTCGATGTTAAGCCTAACGAAGACTATTGTATCGTTAAAAATTATTTTTTTATTTTGTACAAACAAAATAAATATATTGAAAAATATAAAAACAATAAAAAATTATACTTCAGAAGTTAATTTAGTATAAAAAACGTAAAATATTTGAGTAGCCGAAGACATAGCCAAAGATTACAGCGCCACAGCACTGGCGAAAATTTAAATTTGTCGACTGGAATTCCTTCGGATAACCGACCTTCGGATAAATGACGCTCTGCTGTATACAAATGTGTTTACATTTTTTTTTTTTTAACTTTCAGTAAAACAAATATTATGTATTTGCAGTCCTTACAATTGTTGTTGTTGAATTTTATTTATAAATATTAATGGTAAAAGTGATTTTATAATATGAGGGATAAGGATAGGATATAAATGCTGCAGGTTGTAAACATGATCCAATAAGAATAATTTTATCCAAGTTCTTTTCTTGAAATCTGATTAATATAATTCGCATTCACCATATTTTCATTTTTTTCAAATAACGTAAACCTACTTCCATAATAACAATATGTAATATTTTTGTGACAAAGGTCCTGACTTTTATGAAATTTTTTTTTTTTTTTTTTTCAAAAAAGTCGTGAAGTTTTATTTGTCGCTTTTTCTTTTCTTAAACAAATGTCAGCAGCAGAATATCCCATCAAAACACCTCATTTTGCTTTTGCACTCCTTTCAAAATCTAGATCATTTGCTATAGTTTGACCAACAATTTCAGTTATCGTTACCAAACTTTTACTAAGGAAATCTGTAGAGAAATTTTTTGGGTTCTTCATCTTCAGAATCTCTATTTTCCAGTTCCTCATGAATTCCTTGTTCTGCCAGTTCTTGAAGATCGTCATTGATAAGATTCTCACCAGAAACCTGCATTATCCTGTTCAGCTACATCTCCTAGTCCTGCTGTATCGATTAGGTTGAGTTTGATCAACCTAACGATACAGCGATAGCCTCTTTTCATTGAGAATTCTTGGATACTTTCAGCCATAACTTCTTCCACACTTCATTCATGCATTTATCAGTTAATTCTTGTCAGGCGAAAGCCGATATTGCCTATGGCATCCATGACATTATATTTTTTTCCAAAATTGCACCAAACAAACATAGATTTAAAGAAAGTACACCTTTTTCTGATTGCTTCGTTTTCGTAAATAATCGTATTATGTACAAATCAATAAAATGCCATGTTAATTTAAATTGGCTTAAATTTTGAGCTATTCTTTTAGGCTTCAAACAGACTACGTTATATTGAATCAGCATTAAGCAAGGCAGCATTAAGCAGGGTCATACTGTATTTATATCATTATTAATTAATGAAAATAGTGTTCTGTACACATAGCCATATTCCATTTACTTAATAAATTACATATTTCTGTATAATATGCCAAATTCCACATAACTGATGTAAACTTCACATAATTCAAAGTTGCAATTATTTTGTCCCTTGAATTTTGAACTAATGAGGATTTCCTGTATATTCAAAATATTCTTTTATAAGAGTTTTCATTATTTATAAAATTTATATTTTACCAATAATTAAATTAAAAAAGCATGAAATACAAAAATATGTTAAATTTCTTTATATACAATACTATAGCCATCTACATGCTACCTAGATATTAGTGTTTAGGTGACTGTGACAATATGAACAAATCACTCATTTATAATAAGTTCCTCTATAATTCATAAGAGGGCACACCAATAGCTGAAAATACCCTTTAATTATAAGTAAAGTAATGCTTATTTATTAAAGAATTTATCATTTATTCATGATAACAAGTCATGTCAGAAAATCATATATGTTTTCTAATACAGTGGGTGATTGGTTAACGAACATAATTTATTCCAAGACTTTGTTCATTAACAATTATCAATTTACCATAGGTTTTTATAGGAATTTGATTAATTTGTTCTGGAGACTCCAAAAAATAAAAAATATATACTTTTTTACTACGTTTATTTATATGTAATAGTAAAATTACATACAGTGGGTGATTGGTTAATGAACAGTTCGGATAGCGAACAAATCGGATAAAGAACACTTTACTGAACAAACATAAAAAGAAGTGACAGAAAATAACGAATATTGATTGATTTTCCTTTGTCTTCAGGTAATAATTCGAAACCTTTTGGTGCGCGGGAGACGTCAACATCGACGCTCGACCCAATACTGATTGGATAGTATCCCTCCAAATTTTGAAACTCTCTCTTGTAATTCCAGCTATTTGTTTACCTTTCTGACAAATAATTTTATATAGTCTTTGCGAGACTGTCGGACAGGCACTTAAGTTTTGCATTGGGGTTTATTTACGAAAGGTGAAAGTTTAACTGTCCCATCAGATATTCGTTAACGTTTTAATACCAAATTTCGAATTTCATTTAGGCCTTGTATTTAAATAATTTTTTGTGGGCTAGTTGATTTCTGTTCTCTGAATTTTTGTAAGTGCTTTACTGAACTTTTTATTTAAAAAAGAAACTGATAATATTATGGAGCCTAAAAGGAGAAGTATCAAGAACTGTGCTCACTGTAGAAACCAAGCAAGAGATAATAGCCAACGTAGAAAAGAAAGTGGGCACAAGATGTCTGATGTTGCTAGGCAGTAGTATGGCTTGAAAAGGTCTACAGTAGGCACAATCTTAGCTATGAAAAATATATCAAGAAGTCTCAAGCTGCTAATGGGGTAATGAAAATCTCATCTGAGAAATAAAGAACATTTTAGAGCTGATAATGGAACCTGAAACTGATGTGACAACAGAAGAACTCCAGGGATGTCAGAACAATGATCATCCAAGTGGCATCCAAACCAGAATAAGGTTAATGGGGTTGGGGATCTCTACAATTACAATACTATTAATTACTTCCGAAAAATCCTGAAGAAAAGAGAAAAGCAATCGACATTGGTCAGATTCTTTAACCCCCACAAATGGAAAAACATGACTAATAAAAATGCAAGATTGCATATATATATATTTTTACTATTACATATATACTTCTTTACTACATTTATATATTTTTTTTTATTTTTTGGAGTCTCCGGAATGAAGTAATCAAATTCCCATAAAAGCATATGGTAAATCGATAATCGGTTAACGAACAATTCAAATAACAAACAAAGTCTTGGAATGGATTATATTTGTTAACCGATCACGCACTGTATATATGCAGTCTTGCATTTTTATTAGTTTTGTTTTTTCCATTTGTGGGGGTTAAAGAATCTGTCCAATGTCGATTGCTTTTCTCTTTTCTTCAGGATTTTTCGGAAGTAATTAATAGTATTGTAATTGTACAGATCCCCAACACCATTAACCTTATTCTGGTTTGGATGCCACTTGGATGATTGTTGTTCTGACATCCTCCCACTTCTCCAAAAGATTTTTAGTAGCAGATGTCAGCATCCTCTTTCGTCTTCCTCTTTATCAAAAGAAAACACATCTCGCTGAGTTTCTTAGTATTCTTCATATGAGAGTTCTTGGAGTTCTTCTGTCATCAGATCAGTTTCAGGTTCCATTGTGAGCTCTAAAATGCTCTTTATTTCTCAGATGTGATTTTCATTACTCCATTAGCAGCGTGAAACTTCTTGATATATCTTTCATAGCTAAGATTGTGCCTACTGTAGACCTGTTTAAGTCATACTGCTTAGCAATTAGCAACATCAGACATTTTGTACCCACTTTCTACCTTGACTGTTATCTCTTACTTGGTTTCTATGATGAGCACAGTTCTTGACACTCCTCTTTTTAGTCTCCGTAATATTATCAGTTTCTTTTTTAAATAAAAAGTTCAGAAAAGCACTTACAAAAATTCAGAGAACAGAAATCAACTAGCCCACAAAAAATTATTTAAATGCAAGGCCCGGATGAAATTTGAAATTTGGTATTAAAATATTAATGAATATCCAATGGAACAGTTAAACTTTCACCTTTTGTAAATAAGCCCTGATACAAAACTTAATAAGTGCCCATCTGACGACAGTCTCGCGAAGACTAAAAAAATTATTTGTCAGAAAGGTAAACAAAAAGCTGGAATTACAAGGGAGAGTTTCAAAATTTGGAGGAATACTATCTGATCGGTATTGGGTTGAGCATCAATGTTGACGTCTCCCACACTCCGAAAAATTTCGAATTGTTACCTGAAGACAAAGGAAAATCAATTGGTATTCGTTATTTTCCGTCGCTTCTTTTTATATTTGTTCATTAAAGTGTTCGTTATCTGATTTGTTCGCTATCCAAACTGTTTGTTAACTGATTACCCACTGTATATGTTTATTTAAAATTTATACTGTAATTATTGAACGCTTTATTAAAAAACTAGTGTAAATTATCAAATTATTATATCTTTTATTTCATAACCAAGATATGGAATTTTGAAAAAATTTTATGTACAGTGCATTAAATCTTTTTAATGACATTTCCAAGCAAGTGAAACTTCAAATTTTAGTTCTGCATGCATGAAATATGGAAAATAGTGTGTAGATTTTTAGATTACTTGATTTTTTTCACTAAATTAATCATAAATATTAAAAATTCTTTATTGCCTGAAAATAAAAGTTATTTCATAATGATTTTAATGACTAAAAATTACTATTGAAAAAATTAATAAAATGCATGTTTGTGCATCAAATTAAAATATAATTTTGCTTTCAATAGGCCTCATACTTTACACACCAGCAATACTTCCCGTTCTTCTCTTCAGTCTTCTCTTGGTGGAGTAGAAGTTACGTCTCCATATATTAAGCAATTTGTTCATTCCAAATCTTCTCAATATCGAAAAATGAAAACAGAATGGAGAAATAATGTTTATCTTGCCAGGTCACACATTCAGGTGATTTTTTTTACTATTCTAATTTTTAAAATACTTATTAACATATTTATTTATAATAATCTAGATAAAAATTAAATTAAGAAGTAAAATGTTTTTAAGTTAAAATTTAATTTTAAAAAAAGTTCTTTAAACTTCATTATTCGAAAATCTAGAATATAGTCTGAGAAGACAAAACATCTCTGGCCTTGGAAACAGTAAGGTCAGTACTAGGTTAAGGCTAAGACAATAGATGTCAGAAAGACTTAACTCCAGGAAGCTAAGGATACAACTGAAATGATAAAAACAGCCTTAGTACTGTGATACAGAATGCAAGGGAAATCCAGTGCATTAACTTTCCCAGGAAAATCTTATATGGTTGAAAACCTATTACAATTGGCCCTCATTCCTCAGCTTTTTAGTGGACAGAAGGTGCAGAGAATCCCTTGGTTAACCACAAATGTGTACATGGAATGTCAGAAGTATCTATGAAAGTGGTAAAATTCATAATGTAATGCATGAAATGAAGAGACTAAATATTGATATAATGGGAATAAATGAGATGAGATAGTCAGGAAGAGGAGAATGTTGTGTTTTAGAATACATAGTACATTACTCCGGCAATGATGAACAACACCAGAATGGAGTTGGTGTGATACTAAATAAAACATTAAAGAGATCAGTACATAGCATAACACAACTATCAGGTAGAGTCATTATGGCCAAATTTGAAGGTAATCCATTCAGGATGAATGTCATACAGGTTTATGCACCAACTGCAGATAAAGGAGAGGAACAGATTGAAGAATTCTATGATCAGATTAAGGCAGTGCTAAAACACACAAAGGCAAATGAGATCACGATAACAATGGGAGATTTCAATACCACAGTTACACAGGCCAAGGAGGAAGACATCATTGGACCGCATGGTCTCAGGGAAAGAAATGTTAGAGGGACTCACTTCATACAGTTTTGCAGAGAGAGAAAGAGATGGTGATCACCAATACTTGGTTCAAACTTTCTTCCAGAAGGCCTGGAAATCTCCAGCAGATAGACCAGCTAACATTGTTAGAAATCAAATATACTTTATTTTGATAAATAAAAGATTTCTTAACAGCATCATTGCAACCATCACCTTCCTGGTGTGGACATATCATCATACCACAACTCGTTGGTTTGCCATCTGCCTGTGATGACACAGGCATCATCCCAAATGATCGGCTGCAATCAAAGTTTGTCATCATACCAAAAAAAGCCAATGCCATGTGATGAATACAGAATGATCAGCCCCATGAATCACATGCTCAAGGTCTTCTTAATTAAAAATCATTTATAACAGAATTTACAAAAAATATGAAGAGAACACTGGAGAAACACAATTTGGCTTCCAGAACTTCATGGACAATAGAGAGGCCCTATTTACAATGCAGGTTCTCATACAAAGATGCAGAGATATAAGATGTGACATACATATATATTTTTAAAATTATACAAAGGCTTTCGACATATGCCAACATGAAAAGATGATCCAGGCATCTGCAGAGAATTGGCATTGACAACAAAGACATCAAAATCATTGGCAACCCTTACTGGAATCAAACCACATAAGTCAGGGTGGAAGGTCAACTGACATTGCAAATTCAGATCCACAGAGGTGTACGACAAGGCTATATATTATCTCCCTCTCTCTTCAACATATATTCTGAAAATATTTTTTCAGAAGCACTGGCTGATCTTGACATTGGCATCAAGATCAATGGGGAATATTTGAATAACATTCATTATGCCAATGACATGGCACTGCTCTCCACAAGTTTAAAGATCTTCATACGTTGCTAGTCAGAACCTCAAGTGAGAAATTTTGTTTAGATCTCAACATAAAAAAACCAAATACAGTGAAAACTGCTTAGGCGACCACCTGCATTTGACGACCATCTGTCAAAACAGGCAAAAATTTCTAGCACCAAATAGTTTATCCATAGAGTCTTCATATAAGTTACCTGTATTAAACGACCACCTATGTAACGCGACTGCGGGCATCGATTTTTGGTTTGAAACAACATACAACAACTGTAATAAGCGACCACTTCCACAAATATATCTGGTCTAAACTATTGTTCAACAACGTTTCCCCCCCTCCTAATATAATATGAATTATATTAGGAATTAGTAATAATAATATGAATTAGTCTAAACTCTCGTTTGAACCCACCTTGGGCATTTCTCCCACTCTTGAAATTAGGTGCAGGTGGTAATGAATTAGTCTAGCAACAAAGGAAATTCATTTCAATTTGTTGGAAATTGTCCGAAAAACGAAAGAAATGCAAAGTGCTGTCGTTAGATGATCGCATTCAAGTTATCACAACAGCAATTAGCGGCGAAGTTTAACTGTGGGAAAACGAAATTGATTTTACCATAGACCTACAGTATTTTCCTTGGCGGTATAAACTAACGAATACCAAAACCAAAGTGATGTAAAGATACAACGTGCTTGTATATCGATGACATAATACACGTAACTGAGGAGCAAATGAAAACAACCAAGTTGAATTAATTAAGTCGGAAAAAAGAAAGTGTGCATTATAATCGAGAAAATGCGACTATTGTATTAATCTTTAAAATATTTGTATTAAATCTGTCTTATAAAATCATGACGACTTTTGTAAATCGAGTTATTCGATAAGAATGAAATACAATACCGATATAGCCCTATCATTGAAAAACTTCACTTATTTTTGCTCGCCTCGAATTTTGCATAGTAGAAATGGCTAAAAAGTATGCAAAATACGTACAGAAATATGGTATTACCACAACACCTGTATTGGACGACCACCTGTCTAAAAGACCACTTTTTGAAAAACCGTGGGTGGTCACCATAGACAGGTTTACTGTATATGGTCATAAGTTGGACATCAACTCAGGGCAAGTTGATGACTGGATCAAAAGAAATTGAAAGAGTAGAAAAATTTAATTATTTGAAAAGCATCTTAAATGATAACTGGGATAATGATATAGGGTGTGAATAGAAAAGGCAAAAACCGTTTTCACAAAAATGAGAAAATTGCTATGTTCTAACCCTTGATATGAAAACTACAACAATCAGATGCTATATGTTCCCAGTGCTATCGTACAGAGTTGAATCTTGGATAATAGCCAAAACATCTGTAAAGAAGATCAAAGCCATCAAAATATGGATTTACTGAAGGCTTCTAAGAGTATCCTGAGTAGAACATGACCAATGTAGAAATATTGCGACGAATGTATAAACAACAAGAACTGCTCAACACCATCAAACAAAGAAAGTTGGAATACTTCGGCCACGTGATGAGAAATGGTGTAAAGTACCAAATCTTACAACTTGTTATACAAAGGAAAATCTCTGAAAAAAGAGGACCAGGACAATGTCAAATCTCAAGGCTGAGAACTTGAAGGACTGGTATGAAATGTCTCCAGAAGAACTATTCAGAAGAGCCAGCAATAGGAACACATTAGCCATGACGACGCTAACATTCAGAACGCACAAGGCACCAAAAGAAGAAACTGTATTAAATATAAATATTGATATTACTTTAATATATTTTCAGTATTTGCTAGTATTATTAATACATTATTTTATTAATAAGTGGGTATGCAATATTATATTATTATGTATTTAAAAATGTAATTTAATTAAATTTGAATCTGATATTTTTTAATAGGGTCTTGGCTTATATGCTGCTAGAGATATAGAAAAACATACAATGGTTATAGAATACATTGGCCAACTTATAAGAAATGAAATAGCTGAGAGAAATGAAGCTATATATGAAGCACAGGTATGTAAAAATATAATGTTTTTAATATACAGGTAACCCCCGTATAACACGACACTTCTATAGCATGGATTCACTCTAACACGGTTCAAGAATTGGTACCATCCCCGTATAACACGGTACTGTTATAGCACGGATTCACTCTGACACGGTTCGAGAATTGGGTAAAACCCTCGTACAACATGAAATGTAATAAATTTTTACATTTTTAAGTAATAATAGTTCACGAAAATAATAATTTTCGTGAACTATTATTATGTTTATTATTAATTATTATTATTATTTATTATTATTACTATTATTATTAAGTACTAATAGTTCACGAAAATAATAATTTTCGTAAACTATTAGTACTTAAGTATGTAAATTTTCTTTTCTCGCCTTCTGACGATAAACATGGTTCTTCTTGAAACTTGTTTCAATGTTGCCAGATGTTTTTCCCTTATTCCATACTTTCTTTATTCTTCATAAGTGCTTAGCACCATATAAGGAAAATTATAAAGATCTTTTAACTAGAAGCAAGCAATCTAAAATTACATACTTTTTGCAAAAGGTAAAGCATGGATCTGAAGATAATGCAGAAAAATGCTCAGAGGATAAAGATAACTTGCCAAAAAGAAAATGCTCTCGGTTAATAGTGCTTTTAGTGATGACGAAGAAAACATTGTTTAATTTATTTTAATATGTATCACTTAAGAAAATTTTAATAAAGATATTTATCTTAATTAAGAAAATATAATAGCATGTTTTTTAATTTTTGGAACCTAACCCTCCTTTTCGTACTAGTTCTTTATTTCGTATAACACGGATTCGCATAACACGGCAATTTTTTGGAATGTAACTACCATGTTATACGGGGGTTACCTGTAATTTTTTCATCATTATATTTGTGCTATTATTTGCATTAGCATAGTAGTATATACTGTTCAACTAAATAGAACATAATTTACCAAAATTATTTAATTCAATAGGAGCTTTTATTTTATCTGAGATTGTATAAATTTTTGTTTCTGGGTATAATATCTTAACAATGTGTACAAAATATTACAGTTTGAAATATCACAAAACAAACTATTCTAAGAAATTTAATACAGGGTCTTCCAAAAAGAATGTTATTATTTTAAATTATTACAATTATGTTAATTATTATCTGAGAATGTTTTAATGTACATTAAAATATCGGCGACCTTGATGTAAACATTTTGGACACTTCACAAATTTTTTTCCTGAATAATATATCTTGATTTCAGGATAGATCAAAAATTAATTGGTGTAAATTTTAAAAAATGAGAATTGACTGTTTTTGAAAATTAAATTAGCATTCCAGTTTAGTGTTCAGTAGTATTCTGCATTGTTTTGCAATGTCACATTTTACTTTTGTTTTCATTCCTTTGATTATTTCAACTTTTTAAGCTTTAAAATGAAATTGTTTAATGAAATGTTCCACACTTAGACATGGTAAATGTAGCTAAATCTCCATTAAATCTGTATAAATAGCTCTGTTATCTAAATGCAAATGTCACTGAAACTGAAATATGTGACAGTTTTAAGAGAATTTCTAAAACATCTTAACTTCAGTTTTCAAGTTTCATGTTTAAAATTTGGAATATATTAGATTTGAATTATTAAATGTTATACAAAAAATATGATTTGTGTGTATTAAAATATTTGACTATAAAGGTCTAAATAATGTTTAAAATATGCATAAAATAAGATTACAGTTGTCCCTCTATAGTCTGACGTTTTTTAATCCGACATGCTCAGTAGTCCGACGCACCTCCCGTCAAGGTACCTGTCCCCGTTACGTTTCTGCTTGCACAGAAGCATGTTGCAATGTGAATCTCTCCATCCAATTCTTACTCGATGGCACACATTTTGTGTGTTTTATGTGAGCAGTTCTGTTCGAACAGTTGGAGTAGAGAATATTGTAAGTTAATGCTAGCAAAACAATGCGAAATATGTAATTATTTTCGGTAATCCAGACACTTTTGGTAATCCGACACACCTTTGGTCCCATACCTGTCGGATTATCAAGGGACAACTGTACTAAAAATTTTTGTCCTGGTAAATCTTGGAAATGTCAAAAAGGCATTACATTTAAATATTACATTTACAACCTTTGTTTTATATTAATGCATTTTTATGTTAGATTTTATCTCTCAATGTAAGTTTTTATATTCTAAAAGTTTTTTTCTGTTTTATGAAATTACAGTTTATATTTACATATGAAACTATTTTTTTAGACTTAAGTTTCACTGAAAATAGAATATGAGAAAAATTGTAATAATTTAAAAAACTTAAAAAAGATTCATAAAAATATGAACTTTATGAAAATAGAAGCTTAACTTTGTGGAAAATTTTTCACAAAATATTCTACTTTTTTTTACTACTTCAATTACTAAAGCTTAAAATTGAAACTGAAATTTTCTTCAGTATAATTTTGATTATATTTCCCTTACAATATGTATGTTATCTCCTCTTTTTCTATATATAAATCTGAATAGAGCAGCATTTTGAAACCTGGATTAAAAAGCACTTCCAGTAAGTATGCAAAAAAAAAACTGTAATGGCTAATAAATATAAGTTTAAATTAGCAGTTTTTCAATTAAAAGAAGTACAAAGTTACATGTAGTCAGTTCAAAATTTTCTATGGCATGTTTTCAAATGTTGCCAACTTTTATTTTACTTATTTGTTTTACATTTACCTTTAAATATTTTATACGTTTCAAATTACATTGAGTAATTTAGAATGCATTACTAATGATGATGATCTGCAAAAAGCATTGCAAACATTTGTCATCATTATTGTTTTAACATTAAATACAAAAACAGTTTTTTTATGATTATGATTTATTTAAAAAGTTACATTGTCAAACCATTTATATCTTTATCTATTTTTAATATATGAACAATTAAAGTGGTAAATGAAATTATCCATTTCCATGAAATGGGTGTGTAAACTGGAAAAAGTTTTAAACTGCTGATATAGAAGTTTTATCTAATAAAAGTTAACTAAAATAACATAGTTGCTGCTTTGCATTTACTAGTGGGTTATTTTAAAAGACAAAATGATATAATATTCATTTCACACTGAAATAATATATCATATGCAATGTCAAGTCAATGGTGAAATTATTAGACAAAAAAAAATCTGCATGTTTTATATAAATTATATACCTTGTATTAAAAAAATGCTTATTCTGAATTTAAAAAATAGTATTATATAATCTGTAAGTACAGTGGAACCTCGGTATATGACCTTAATCCGTTCCTGATGTTTGGACTTATACCGAATAGGACATATACCAAACCAACCTTTCCCATAAGAAGTAATGTAAAAATGATTAATCCGTTCTCATGTAAAAAAATATGGCTGAATTTAAACACCTCGCTCTCCTGGCTGGTTCCTGCTTGATTTTTCATGAGATCAACATGTATCTTTTTAGCTTTCTCACAAATAATTGCTTCTGAATGGATGTCACCAGCACACTGTTTTTCAGTTATCCAAGCAAAAGCAATTTCTTAACATGATCTAATGTCTTCAATCTCTGTTTAGAAATTGATTTAACTCCTTTCGCAACGTTAGCAGATTTAATAATATCTTTCTTTTTCACGCTTGTCAATATTGTCGTACTCAGAATACAGTATGCAACAGTTAAATCTTGCACACACATGCCACCTTCATATTTCACAACAATCTCTTTTTTCAGTTCCATGTGACTGGAGTCATTTTTTTTAAATTTTCTGTTGCTTTTCATTTGTCTTTTTGCAATTCATGATTAATAAAAATAATAAAATTTTACTTACAAATTAAAATTAGAAGAAATTTAACAAAGTTATAAACCTTGGCACCGCAAATGTCTAGTGTGGTCTAGTACACCGATAGTGCTACTTGTTCATAGATGGTGTGTATAATTGAATTAAATCATATACCGTGCAAAATTTGTTTCGTCCAAACAGGATGTATTCCGAATTGGACGTATTCTAAATCCAGATGTATACGGAGGTACCACTGTATGTTTTTTAAATGTTCAAAAACATTTATAATGTATATTTTAGTTATGAATAAAATTGTAAATTATTTTTAATTTTAGAATAGGGGTGTGTACATGTTCAGATTGGATGAAAATAGAGTTATTGATGCTACTTTGTGTGGAGGATTGGCCAGATATATGAATCATTCATGTAATCCTAATTGTGTAGCTGAAGTTGTACAAATTGACAGAGAAAATAAAATTCTCATTATTGCAAACAGAAGAATTACGCGAGGAGAAGAGGTAACTACCAATTTAGAAATTTTTCTATTTATGATGACAACTTTAATCTCTCATTATCTTATTGTTGTATTTTACTTCATTTAAGTTTAAAAAAATATAAAAGAGTTGCATAAATCCATATTGTTGTATGTCAATTGTTATTGATATATTATAAACATGAGATAAATTCAGAAGTCAAGATAAGATCAGTGATCTAATGGTTTGGTTACCTTTATATTTACTAATCAGAAAGAATATTTGCTTTAGTAGACTTTAAAAACAAAATAAAACTCAAAAGATTTTGAGTTTCCTAATGAATTTTTGATTATATTTTGTTCCCAACAACAACATAGAACATTGTAATCAAAATAACAGCATTCTGTGATCCTCTAAGTGTTTCTGATGATTGATATAAGTCTGAGGCACTGGAACAGGTTTTTTTAAGTCTTGTTTTGTTTTTATAATTTTATTAAAGCAAATACTTTTTTTTGTATAAATTTGTGTGCATGCACACCAATACTTTGTTAAACCTTTATTTATATTAAATATAAGAGAAATTTATTAAGAAAAATTAATAAAATATCTACAACTTAATAGGAATATTATATATATATATATATTTTCTCATTCTGCACCTTCATAAAGAAATAAATTTTAAAATTTTGAGTTTGGTTATTGATGCATTGAGTCTGTTTTAAAAAATAGTTTACTTTAATTTGAAAACTCATAATTATTTTATTTTTATTTTATTTAGTTAACGTATGATTATAAATTTGAAGTCGAAGATGACCAGCATAAGATTCCTTGTCTTTGTGGTGCACCAAATTGTCGGAAATGGATGAATTAGTGATTTTGTACTGCAACTAGATATTTTTTCATCAACAATCCCAACATAAATTTGTTTGGATTATGTAAATATTTCGTGTTCATCGACTCTTACCATTTTCAACAATAACGGCCTTACTGTCGTCATTCCAAAAACTCAAAACAAAGACATTAATCGACAGTCTCAAATCGTGTAAGATATTCACCACTCATAATTCATTAAATACATCCGTGCTGTAAAAAATCTAAATTTATTAGCCGGATTTGTACAGTAAAATTATCAAACATTATTTACAGGAAAAAAATAATAATGATGATGCGTGACTCAGGAAAATATGAGATTTTGTATAGATAGCATTATTTTTATGTTCATGTTTATTTAGTTTAGTAAAAAAAAAATATATGAATCAATCATGATCCTGTACAGATGCTGAAAGACTACATTATTTTTTAATTTCTTACTAAAGACAAATGCTTTTGTTGAAAAATAGCAACTCCTGATGACATCTCATTGTCTCTTATAATGTTTATACAGCAGAAATATTTTAAATGTTTCAATCATGATAGAAAAACTGTTTAATGCATAAAATACATTTGTAGTGCAATAAATGTTTGTTTGTAATCTTGTTTTCAATATTTTTTAATTAAATCAAAATAATGCTCTAAAAGATATATTACAAATGTTTCAATAATTCTTTTATTTGAAATGCATTAAAAGAAAGGAACACAAGACATAATTAATAGCATCCAAAATTGTTGGATATAGAGTCATTGTGACAATAATGGATTAACATTAAGATTGATTTTGAAATTTAAACAAATACCATTAAGTAGTTTAAATAAACTATTGGCATTTTGTCTGTTGATTACAGTATTAAAAAATTGGCCATTTCTATTCAAAATAATCTAAGTTAGGATTGAAATGTTTTGAGACAAAAACTGAATAACACTTATGCTGTCTTAGAGCAAAGTTTTAATTTTATTAGCATTAATGTTTTATTTAATAGATAAAACTTAAATTTGAGAACAAAGTTGATATTTATTAAATTTTCAGTTATCTGTAACCATCTTCAGTTTACAAAGAAATTACAAACAAATGCTATGACCATCTGGCAGTCTCCATTGGCAAATTCATATGGCCAGATAGCCAAGTGATTAAGGTGATAGCCAACCATTCTAGACCTGGGAACGAATTTTGACAGTCAAAAACCTAGGAATTTTTCAGGGTGAATCTGTCCCTGATATGTCAGGCTCCATTTCAGTCCACAAAAATCTGATATTGCTGATTTGTGATCCATGACGGGCTTGATTAAAAGGTCCTCTTTAATGCCACAAGACAAAGTAAAATAAAATGGCTGATGAAAACCATATCTAGTATAGTATTCATTTATAAATGCATAGTACCAGGACCCACTCTAGCGGTTACATTGCCCCGGACAAAAAGACAAATTGCCGCCCCTTAAGTATATATATACAGTAGTGCGTCGTTTATCCGAATCAATTGGGGACGTTCGGATAACCAATTATGTACGAAAAAATATATTAATTTATCCCGTGTTGAAATTTTTCTCCGTTGCGTGTCGCTTCGCGTTGAATTTTCGTCGATGTTAAGCCTAACGAAGACTTGTATCGTTAAAAATTATTTTTTTATTTTGTACGAACAAAATAAATATATTGAAAAATATAAAAACAATAAAAAATTATACTTCAGAAGTTAATTTAGTATCAAAAACGTAAAATATTTGAGTAGCCGAAGACATAGCCAAAGATTACAGCGCCACAGCACTGGCGAAAATTTAAATTTGTCGACTGGAATTCCTTCGGATAAACGACGCTCTACTGTATATACGTGGTACGATCCAAAAGTTCGGGGACTGCAGTAATGTATGACAACAAAAGCATGTATTTAAAGTTACAGCGTATGAAATGGATTCTATCAAACCACCCCTACGTATTCAGGTTGATTTTGCCCATGTCACATGATTAAACCGCGAGTGCTGCTGTTTTTTTTTCGGAGATAGTTACTTTTGTTTTGCGACGTAATAAAAATGGAGTTTCAAGAACAGCGCTGCATCATTAAATTTTGTCAGCGTTTAGGTAAAGCATCTATGAAGACTTTAAAATTGCTAAGAAAGGTGTACGGTGATTCTACCATGGTGAAATCAAAGATATAAAGAGGGCCGAGAATCTATCGCAGATGATGAATGCTCTGGCCGACCTTCGACTTCACGGAACGAGGAAAATGTTGAGTTGGTCTCTCAATTATCTAGACATTTTACGTCGTTTGAGGGAATCCATTCGTTGTAAACGGCCGCAGATCTGGCGAAGTGGAGACTGGTACCTTCTGCATGACAACGCACCTGCAAATCGGTCCCAAATGGTCACACAGTTTCTCGCCAAATCTCAAATTAATGTGCTTCCACACCCCACCTATTCACCGGACTTATCTTCATGTGATTTTTATTTGTTTCCATCAATGAAAAAGCATTTGCAGGCACGCCGTTTTGTGTCATCAGATGAGGTGAGAGCAGCATCGCAAGAGGCCTTACGGGAGGTTTCAAAAAATGGCTTCCAGCAGTGCTTCCAGAAGTTATATTAGCGCTGGCAAAAGTGTATCGTTGCCCAAGGTGATTATTTTGAAGGTGGTTGTGCATCGCAATATAAACTTTTTAAGGTAAGGAATTTTAAGCCAAGTCCCCGAACTTTTGGATCGTACTACGTATATGTGTTACTGTAAGTGCTCGAACTATGGTAAATCCTAAGATTTTCCAGTAAAGCCTAAGATTTACCAAATCATTGTGGTAAAAGTCCGAAATGTTCTGCGATCATCGTTAATTTCGAACTTTTACCAGCATTTACTCGGTATATCTTAGGTTATATCTCAGAGACATGGTAAATGTTGAAACATAGTCCCAGATCCCGTACTGCACCGCGCCGCTGCTCCGTTCGCCGCATTCCATCGTTTGACACGTTAGAACGTGCACGTTAATTCTAATCTTGTTTGAGATTTCTCTGTCTAAAAGTTATTTATGAATCAAGATGAGTGTGAAACGGATATTTTATGAAATAATGGATGAGCTCATTGCAAGCAAGAAAGATAATAACTTTTATCTCAATAGGGACAAATACGCAGTGTTTGGAGGAAGTAAAAGCTGCAAAGAACATGAAAAAGAAACAAGCTGTTCATTACAGGCGTATAAAGCGTTACGACATTTTGACTATAAGCGGCGAAGAAAAACTAATTGCACCTATGAAGGAGGAGGATGGAGAAATCATGTATTACATTTGTTACGAGGACTTATTCAACATTCTCGAAGAAACTCATGTTGCTGTTGGCCACGGTGGAAGGACACGGATGCTTAAGGAATGTAACCGCAAGTATAAAAATGTAACAGTTGAGGCTACTATGACATATTCGAAGCTATGTCAACCTTGCCAAAAGAAACAGAAGACTTTGAAAAAGGGCGTTGTCGTCAGACCTATACTTCATATTCAGTACTATACTTCATAGACCTATACGCTGTCAGGTTGATCTAATAGATCTACAAACTACCTCAGATGGAAATTATAAATTTATTTTAGTTTACCAAAACCATCTTACCAAATTTGTGATCCTTCGTGCACTTCAAACTAAACGCACCGTAGAAGTTGCATACCATCTTTTGGATATTTTCACCACTTTTGGAGCGTCGAGCATCCTTCATTCCGATAATGGCCATGAATTCTCTGACCAAGTTATTGAGAGTTTATACTCCATGTGGCCGGATGTAAAAATCGTACATGGAAAGGCAAGACATAGCCAAAGTCAAGGATCAGTGAAACGTGCTAAGCAAGACATAGAAAATATGTTGAGCACGTGGATGGAAACCAATCAGTTATCAAAGTGGTCAGAGGGTTAAAGATTCATCCGGGCGATGAAAAATAGAGCATATCATTAGGGAATCAAATGTTCTCCCTACGAAGCAATGTTTGGTTGTCCAATGAAAATGGGCCTTGCAACTTCAGCAATCCCTGGTGATATGATTAGAGTTATAAGATCTGAAGAAGATTTAGAGAAGTTGTTGCATTTGCATGACAATACGGAACAAAATAATGACGTCGAAAATGCAATCGACCAGGACAAGGAAGAAAGCATTGTTGAAAATGAGTCAGAAGGGGATATAGACAATAGCACTGTCAACGATAAAACACAAGAAGATGAAATGATTATTACTGAGATGATGAAGGCGAAGCAAATAACCGATGATTCCAATGTAACGATTCAGAGACAGAAAACATGATTGAGTCTCAGGAAGTTCTTGTAACTATTAGAGCCAATACCAAAAAAGATAGAATCTGTAGTGACTATAAGAACAACGCAAAATTGAATTTGGAAAAACAAGCTGAAAAAATAAAAGCCACGTCTGTTGATAAATGTCCAAATATGAAAATTGGCCAAAATGTAAGACTGAAAGTGCCTGAAATTGACAAAACTAAAACCGACCCGAAAAGCGTTATTGCAGTTGTAATAGATGTAAAGGACAACGAGTTTTACCAACTAGGTACCAAAATTGGAGTACTAAAACAGCTTTATACACAAAATTAATTTACCTCATGCCCTGAAGACTTTATCAAGATAGAAGAAGTTGTTAAAGATAAAGAAGTGAGTCTTCGAGAAGTTGTCGCAAAATTGTCTTTGACCGAAAAAAAAGGTTTCAAGAAATGCAACTGCCTAAAAAAATGCGTAACAAAGAAGTGCGCTTGCAAGTCATCAGGATTACTTTGTAATTCTAAATGCCATGATAGCTCTTCATGTTGTAACAAGTTAAATCCTTTTTTTACTTTTATTAAATGACAACGAATACTAAATGATTAGAAAAAATACTGTGATTACTGATTAGCTTAGCCAACGTAAGCTATTATATTATTTATGACAAGATAATTTAATTTTTTGTTATGTTAAAAAAGTATTTTTAAACTGTTTCACTAGTTATTAATAAATAGGACTTACTTGTTAGTAAGGTGACTGTTTATAATAATTGCAATAAATGATTATTAAAATACTCATAATTTTATTTCCAAAACCACATTTACTAATCGTCTTTAGTAAAACCTAGCATGTACCAAATTCTAATGGTAAAAGCCCGGAAAATCATCTCACTTTATAAAAATCCTTACATTTACCAACTCATGTTAGTAAATCCGAAGATTTACAAGTAAAACCTAGGATTTACCAATATACGGGCTTTAAAGTAACACATACAGTACACGAAACGACTGTGTGAATGCTGACATTCGCCAGATATCGGTTATTCACAGTAACATCAATATTTGCATGACAGAAGATCTATTTAACCTTTCTCACTACTTTTTATCTTTTGGCCTTTCCCCCTTTCCCCAAATTTGGGTCTCTAATCTCT